ATCCATCCATCATCCATCCTTCATCCATCCATCTATCCATCATCCATCCATCATCCATCCATCATCCATCCATCATCCATCCATCCATCCATCATCCATCCATCATCCATCCATCCATCCATCATCCATCCATCCATCCATCCATCATCCATCATCCATCCATCATCCATCCATCCATCATCCAGCCATCCATCATCCATCCATCCATCTGTTGTCTGCCTACCAATAAACAGTAGATTCAGATGTTCTTTGCCATCCTTCAGGGCTACTGTCTCACCCTCAGCACTTGTTTCTCACATCTGTCTCTGATTTTTTATTTATATATTTTTTATTCTGTTGTGGCTTCTGAACATTTTTGCTCACCTTCACTGGACTCGAAGGTTTACCTCCAGGATACTCAGGTTGTTCCATGTCCCACATAGGACTCCAAGTTCTTCCGGGTGCATCAGGTTCTTCCGGTGTCCAAGTTTACGGTGAAAGATCCTCAGGACCTGGTCCTGTCGCTGCCGTTCCTCCAGTTCCTCCACGCTCTGCCGCTCGATTACAACTACGCCCTCTACAGAGAGATCTTCCAGCGCTTCGGCACGCACTACTACAGTTCAGGGAAACTGGGAGGCCACTACGACCTGCTGTACCAGTACAGCCGAGAGGAGCTCACCACGTCAGGTACAACAGCGCCACCTGGTGTCTGAAGTGTGGAGTGACACACAAATCTGCAACTGCAGCTAAAAATATCTAAATATGCAGCTGGAAACTATGTCAGTGTTGACATATAAAACAAGAGTTTTGTTCAAAATATCTGAAATTATTAGTATTTGATAAGTTTTTTTTCTTTCTTTCAGGTCAAACAGAGGAACAGTTCAAAGGCTGTCTGAGCAAAGAGTTTGGCTTCACCGTCATCCTCTACACTCAGTACAGCAGCACCACCCGCTGCCATGACAACAGGATGACTGAGAAATACAGTGGTGACTGCAACTTTTATTGTTTTAATGCTGAGTCAGCATTCACAGCAGCGCCCTCACTGTTCTTTAATTATCCTTTTAGCAACTGCTTTGATACTTTTAGCTTTTTCTTGTTTTCAACTTGCCTTTTGCTACTATAGATCTTAGCTAACCATTAGCAACCTAAGATTTTAGCT